AGTCGTTGTGACGGAGCCGGGTAGAGGCGCGGACCCCGAAAACTTCATAGCGGCTTCATTACGATCTGTATTAAAATACTTTTCGGTCGTGTGCGGGTTGCGCATACTTTCCTTGTTTTGATGAATCCATTCACACACACACACCCCTACAATGCACGTCATTTGTTTCGGGAGCGTTTCATAAGCCAGGCCGCCGCCCCACAGCGATCCAAAGTGGTTGCTTTGGAAACAGTGTGACGTAGTTCAGAGCCCCAGAATAGAAGCGTGAGGAAGAGCGCCGCCTCTGAGCTTTTTGGTTCTTGGGTCCAATACAAAATGCTTTCTTATTAATATGTGTGTGTGTGTGTGTTGGGGGGGGGGGGGGGGGCTTTGTTGTGGAGGTTACCTGCATTTTTGGTAACGTCACCTGGCTGGTGGAGCAGACTGAGGTTTGTTGGGTGGAGGAGGGTATATCACTGCATCCACCGATCATCATTCAACATGTTCGCTTATGTGCAGGGACACGCACGCTCTGCCGCTTACGAAACAGACCCCCCAACAGACCCCCACCCCCTCCAAGACAAACCAAGTGAGTCATGGTCTATTTATAGGTACCGCAATACATCACTCTGTGGGATGGAAGCTTCTGTTTGTCTGCAGTATAGACAAGCTGTTACATAAATGGGTTTCTGCACGCATGTCTCAGGGGGGGCAGTGATTCACAACATGAGCATTTCTCGCTTTTTATCTGCATTTTTCTTAGTCACCAGCCAAGAAGACAATTAGCAATGCAGCTCATTTTTGTGTGGCCGCTACACCTTTTTGTCTGTCATAAGTTTGAGGGAGAAGAGTTGGAAGAGGGTTGGAGAGGAGAATGAACCCCCCCACTAATGTCCGTACAATAACCAGGATACATCAGCAAGCAGGCCGTTAGCTTAGCTTAAAGAGTCTGGAAACGGCTAGCCTAGCTTTTGCTCTAAAAGTAACTAAATCTGCCAACATGCATTTGTAAAGGTAATTAATGAATCACTAATCAACACGTTTGGTTTGGTTCTCTTCGTGCTATGCTAAGCTAATCGGTTGCTTGTTATGGCTTCATGGTGGTATCGGTGTTCTCGTCTCGATCATGGGCATGAAAGCATAAGTGGGAAAAAAACAGACTACTCCTTTCAGGGTGGTGTTGCGGGCATCTTGGCAGTTGCCGTCGGGTTAGGAAGCGACATAACACACGCTGCGAGCGCAGCGTGTAAATAATGCAATGTGTTTGTGCGAGAAAAAGGAGCGAAGCCAAGATAAAAGTGGGAAGGTACATGTAGAACTTGATGTCCTGTGATGAATATGTCCGGGGGGGGGCAGAAACAAGGCGCGCTCCCAACAAAAGCTGCGTTCGTAATGGTTGGTATCTAACATTACTGACAGCTCCACCCATCCCCCATGAGAGCATCTGACTGGAGCAGAGTGTTCTCCTGTTGGGTAACGTTACAGCAGCTGGAAGGTCGTCGTTCATCATTCCTTTTTTTTTTTCCAGGGCCAAACATAGAAAAAGAAAGGAGTTTCATAAACAGGGGAAGAAAAGTTTATGAATTGGTGAAAACAAACAACAACATAGGAGAAATGTGGGGGGGCCGCGTGTCAGCGCAGTGACCACCAACCCCCCTCGATCCCCCTCAATCCCCCTCTCCAAGCTTCCCCTGTGCTCTAGTTTGCGGTGTATTCTAGGCCCGTCTCCAGTCTCTTTATGTAACATGCTTTTCATCCCCGGCCTGACACCTCTCCCCATCTCACCTCCCTCCCCCCCATGCTGGCTCTCGGTGGTGTAAACAGCCTCGTTGCGAGTCTCGTCTCCGACACCCACTTGGCAAGACTCACGGGCGCAGGTATTTATACCCGTCCCGCTGCCCACCGCTGGTGCAGCTCCCAGGGCGGATAAATTATGAAGAGAGCCGGGATGAATAAAAGGACGGTGCCGCCTGATGCCGGCTCGTGTCGGAGAACCTCCTCTGGGAAACTTGGGCTTTGTACAACGTCTGTTTTACAAGCAGTGTGAAACTACATTTACGTTACTGCTGCTAACACAGATGACCCCAAACCAGAGAACTATTACCGCTTATCCTGTAATACAGTCTGTTAGTAATCATCCAGGAAATTTCCTGGAAAGAGCTGCTTAGTTTTTAAGTATTTAAGCTCTGAGAATGTTAATGAGGGTTAGTTCAGTTCAGTGAAACTGCTTAAATGTTTATTAGAATTACAAGAAAAACTAAAAAAAGTCTTGTTTTGTCGGACCAAAGCCCATTATATTGAATAGCTGTTTTTTTCCTCACACTTCATCATTCTCAGAGATGGGCGTGTGCCAGCTGACATGACACAATTTTGATGAAATTGCAGTTTCTTGTTCTTCCGGGTTTGTATCCTTATGGTTGCACTCATTGCAAGTCGCTTTGGATAAAAGATTCAGCTAAATGACGATGTAAAGAATAAATAGGTTGCATCTTCCTAATTTTGCACTTTATGAACTATTTACTTTTTGAACTATTATTCCAAGAAAAAATGTTTTAAAAAAATAAAAATAAAACAAGAAACATCCTCGCCAGAGGCGGGAAGGATCTTTTTTTAGAAGGGATCCATTCACCATAAAACCTAAAACAACAGGCAACGCTACCTTAGTTATGCCTTGAGGTGGATAAAACTATTTGGGATTAAAACCAACCTGGAAAAAAACAACAACCCTGTACTCATTCTATAGGCTGTGTCCCAAATGTTGTCCTTTATTGGACAACACGCTCTGTTGACAGCAATATATTACACCCCCCCTCCACCCCCCCCATAAGAGACTTTGAGAATTTGGCTCAAACTTGTTGAACTCACTAACTCGCTCACCGCCCCCCTTCACTCCTTATGTTGTTTTCCCACTGGGTCAGTTGCGACACGGCGCTGATGTTGTCATCGGGCCATGCCCTCGTGAGGATAAACAAAATGGTCAATGCCATGAAGTGTTTCACCGGCCCACCACGGATATTATACAAAAAATAATCAACTGCAGGATCCACTTGAACTGAACACTTGTTCTGCTTTGTCTTGAAGAGAAGTGTTGTGCCAAGTTCCTCTTGGAAGTGCTTTGCTTTTCTTCGAAGCCAAAACCATTTTCTCAGGCAGACGTGTCACGAACAGATATTTCAAAAGCTTAACTGTTCACAACATGTGGGCCGTTACTCAAGTCCTGTTGCACAAATGGTTATTTATGATTCTGTGAGAATAGTTCTTGTTTAAGTGACTTCAGGTCGAATGAAAAAATGAATTCAATAATGTGTTGCAGTCTGAAAATATTGACCTGACAGAACCCGTTTGTATGAAGATCACACCCGACAGGTGTTCCCTCTCACGCCTGCGTCCTTCCCGACACCCACAGGTGGCGGCTTACGAAGCCAACGCTCCCCTAAAAACCGTCCCAATCCCTCATGTATGACCCCCCTGTTTGTACTGATTGTACTGCCCCACGCTCTGGTTTCTCTGTTGGTTCCAGCCACGCATTTTTTCATTGGGCCGGGACGTTAACATCGCCTGAGTGACACGGCCTCGCATGACGCTTAAGCAGCTTCCGTGCACGTTGTGATGCGGAGAATGTTCCGCACAGTCAGTAAACAGAGATTCTAATCTGCGCGGGCCGTCACACACTTTGCCAACTGATTTCATCCCCTTCGCACGGGGCCGTGCCAGCTGCCCCCCCCCCCCCCCACCTCCACCCAGTCTACAGGTCTTGGCGCCCTGCTGAGCGGAGCTAAACGGCTAACTGCGCCGACCATCCGCTGTGCAATGGAGAACGACCTTGCGTGGCCCCACTTGTCCGTGGCGGGGGCCCCTAGCTGGCTCCTGCCCCTATCAGAGAGTCAAAGGAGGCTGGGAGGTAAGGGGCCCCCCGGCGCTGTTTGCTCAGGAGGTTTGTGATGTGATGCAATGCACGCGGTTCACTGTGTCCCGATCGCTATAAAAACACGTGGTCAGGTGATGACCTCATCCTGGTCGATACACACAAGAAACACACACACACACACTCACACGCGCAATAAGCCAAATGCACCACAGAGGATCGATCACTCATGACATATTGGGTAATGCAAACGATGATACTGTTCTAACCTTTGTCCCCCAAAGTGCTGTGGATCATTATGATTGTCAATGGGCAGCACACGTGAGATGGTTTTGCAGTGTTTCAGACAGCAGCTTTCTGGTTTTACCGGAACTTCCGGTTGCCTTGAAAACACACTATTCACTGTGGTTTCCTGATAAATTCTAAAGGCAGTCATTAAGCCAACTGGCGCCAGCGATCTGTGTTCAGTGTTCATCCCCTTTCCAAACATTCTCAATCCAAATCGAATTTAACATCCGCATTCGGGCTTTCCTCTTCTCGTTGTTTGCACACACATGACTGCCGTAAAAAGAAAAAAACTTTTCCGCTGACCACAAAAAAAAAAAAAGAAAGCAGGTTGCACCCGCAAACAACATTACATTAACACATTGTTGTTTGTGCTTTAGATGCTTCTATCCAATAACAAATGGTATAATAATAATAACAACGAAAAGACAAATTGTTACCCTATTTGTGATGCAACTTATGTTTGAAGGTCAGATGTAACTTCCTGTTATGAAACTCCGATAAAACAGAAAATCATTTTTGGGAGTTTGGGAAAAAGTTGAGAAACGGAGGTGTCTGACTTCTGTGACAACTTACTAAGAAGAGTAATCACACGTGTGTTTTAAAGCTGCTAAAGCGTCGGCAGCACGAGCCTCTGTACACTGCATACATCTGCTGGTATAGTTATGGACTAATCCGTCATGCCTGACTCACACAACATGCTTTCAACAGAAAGACAGCCGCAACATTACCTAATTGTAATAAGTGGATTATCCTGGGGGGGTAGATGATCCTGCCTGAGGGAGAAGGTGTGCTTGTCTGAATGGGGTGTGGGGGGGGGGGGAGTGGGGGGCTGCACGGATGGAGGCGGTCCCAGAGAACGCGCACGCTCAAAAAGGGCCCCGCTGGTTCAGGCGAGGATAGGAACCGTCCCGGGCTGAACTCCGCCTCACAAATAAGAGCTGCGCTTATTCCAAGTGGAGCAGAGAGCAGGTGAGCGTAACGTGAGGTAACAGCGCCGAGAGGACCCGCAGTGCTCTAAACCCCGCAGACAGAGAGAGAGAGAGAAAAGGGGGGAGGAAGAGCGGAAGGAAGGCGCTTCTTCCTGGGACCGGACGGAGAGACGTTTTCTGCGGACTCTTGAAAACCTCTACAGGTACGGTTATTACTTCAAATGCGTCTTTGATTATCCTTCTTCTTCTTATTATTATTATGTTGTTATTGTTTACGTATTTGTATCATTTCGCTGAATGAAACTACTACAGAAAACACGGGTCACTGTAACCGCACGTCCTCTTCAAACTCTTTTGATTGTTGCTTTTCTTTAATGACATTTATCCAGGTCAGGGTGACGTAATATCGCGCTCCTCTACACGCTGCTATAATAATTACATATTATATCAAACATATCAAAAGTGGCTGTCTAAAGTGTCACTGGGAACAGAAGAGCCGGGTCACGTTAGAGAAGCAAAGGGAAACGTGTGGGTCGGACATGTGGGTCAGTCCGACCGGAAACCGGATCACGGGCTGCAGACCCGGTGCCCCGGGGAGCGGATGGTCCACATGTCGCTGGTTCTTCTCGGCGGCTCGTGTTACGGAGGGACGCTGATCAGCGTGGACCTCCTGCGGTGCGTAACCGGGTCACAGCGCGCGCGCGCCGTCCCGTGCGGGACGCGTAACGCGGCCGGCGGGCTGACGGTACACGTCGCTCCCCGTTCTACCGGAGAGATGTAATGAGTTACATAATGCTGTGTCGTAATAGCGCTTGCGTAACCAATAAAACCCGCGTTCCCTTTGCCCACCAATGGCGCCGTTGCTGCGTCCGCTGTGGTTTCGCTGCATCAACAGGCGGACGATGTTTGAAGAGGAGTCCCAGCAGAAGATGGACCCGCAAGATGCGGCCGTGCTCCACACTCTGGAGTCGCCCGTGAGTCCCGGTGGAGCGGGAGGAGGAAGAGGAGGAGGAGGAGATGATGGGCCCCTGTCCTTCACGGACGAAGCCGTGTCCATCCTGACCTCCAGCAGCATGTTGGCGCGCTCGCTGCTGGTTCGCGGCGCGGCCGTCAAGCGCAAAGAGAGCCCCTCCTCCAGCGTCCGGCGCAAGCGAGAGTTCATCCCCGTGGACAAGAAGGATGAGGGCTACTGGGATAAGAGGAGGAAGAACAACGAGGCCGCCAAGCGCTCGCGGGAGAAGCGGCGCGTGAACGACATGGTGCTGGAGGGCCGCGTCCTGGCTCTGCTGGAGGAGAACGCCCGCCTGCGGGCCGAGCTGCTGGCCCTCAAGTTCCGCTTCGGGCTGGTCAAGGACTCGTCCAGCGCCCCCATGCTGCCCCTCGCCGCAGCTCCCGGTCCCGGCGCTCCAACCTTGACCCCCCACTATTATCTGCACAGGGGCGAGGGAGGTCTGCCCGGCTCCTCGGCCTCCCACGGCAACGGCCAGGCAGGCCTGAGCTCCAGGGCCTCCAGGGATGCCGGGAACACGTCAGAGGACTCCGGGTTCTCCACGCCGGACGGGTCCAGCGTGGGCAGCCCCATCTTCTTTGAGGACCGGCTGAGCGATCACGGAGAAATTCTCCCCGCACCGAGCAGAAGAAGCTGGCCGAGCGACCTGCACCACTCCCCCGTCATCGTCCACCACAGATCGAGAGCCGCCTCAGCGAGGTGGGACCAAGGCGAGTTCATTAAGAACCTCCCCCACAAACTGCGTTTCAAGACCCCCGGCGGCGGGGAGGCGTTCGACGCCGCGGGGGGCCGGCGGAGCCCCGCGCAGGGACGCGATGGTCCCAGGGAGGACCTCAAGGGGCCGAGCGGCGGCGAAGCGGCATCGGGGAACTGCGCCGGCTCCTGGCTCCAGCAGCTGGAGGGCGAGGAAGCCCAGAGGGGGAGGCCGTCCCCTCCCCAGTGCAAGGCCTCGGCCGCCGGACTCCAGCCCGCCGCGGCCCGGTACAAGCACGAGAACACTCACCTGAAGTCGCAGCTCAACTCTCTGAGCGAGGAGGTGGCGCAGCTGAAGAGGCTTTTCACGGAGCAGCTCATGGCGAAGGTCAACTGAGGGCGCGGGGCGTTCACACGGGCCGATTAAGAACTCTTAACTATGTCTCGTCTTTTTTTTTATTTTGAATGTTGTGCTGCGTTGTAATAAATGTCTCATCTCATAACCCAGCTGTTTAACAGGGAGTGTTATCCGAAGTAGCGTGTGATAGTTTTCTCCCGCTCACTGTGACCACGACAAACACGCCGCTGTTTACATCACGGCATAGCGATGCCGCTGTCCGCTTGTCTTTCTGTATACATTTTCATATATAAGAATAAAGAAAACAAAACATTCGAAAATACATCGTGGTGGTGAGATGATTATTACTTACACTTTTACATGGAAATCGTGAACCTGCAGTTGTGGCGTGAGCTCTGCACGGTTTGACGTAACAACACCCGATGTCATAATGATCTGTCATCCGGGTTTTTGTTACGTTGTTGCTTCTGGCTTTGAAAGAAGTGGACATTTAAAAGGAACTGTGGGTCTGATATAACTGCATTACGGGATGTCCTTTGTTGCAAATATTGTCTCATTCAGCACATACAGAGTTTCCCTAAAGGCCGATAATGAGAGAACAAAGAGGACGATACACCGTTTGGCCGACGCGCTCTGACGGAGACGGGAGAGAAGCGGAGCTGAGCCCGGTTTTCTTTCCCCCGATGTCCCTGCGCAGACCGGCAGAGACAGACACACAGAGACATAGACACACAGAGAGACAAAGACACACAGAGAGAGTGGTTGTGAGAACATCTGGAGGGGACCGGAGTCGATGAGGAGTGGGGCAGCAGGAGTTAGACTCTCACATACAATGTCAAACCTCTAACCACTGGTTCCCATGGTCTTAGTTGGGAATTATTAAAGTACTGATCCCACTAATAAATCACGCCATGTTGGAGTCAGCAGAGGGCAGCAAAGACGATACGATGGGCGTCACTAAAGGAGCCCGCGAGTTGTGTTTCACCAGCTTTCTTAACCCTTGTGTGGCATTTAGGTCCGTGGGACCCGATTCTTTTCTCAAAACAAAAACGATTCATTGTTTTTTTTTCAAACTCACACTTACTGGCCTCATTTTCTTCGAAGAACAATCACATGAAACAATTGTTTAACATCGTACAAACTGGGACAAGAGCTAAAGATGAAGCCGATGTGGAAAATATTACCATATAAAAGCATATTTTGCTTCTAATTGGGATAAAACAACAAATCTGTTGACTATTTTAACATAAGAGTGTTGATTGTGTTGAATTAAAAACATTAAAAGTGCAGCGAGACCCACAACAACGGCTGAGTAACAAAAAAATGAACACCATACACGAGTTAAGCCAGTAATCACGCTACGGATCACTGCCATGTACTCGGGCCAGTCGGCGTGGTGACGATCTGTGTGAAGTAAACAGGGCAACTGAATTTAGACCAAAGAACGGGCGTCACTACTCAATGTCATTGTGGTGGAGCTCCTCCAGCCGCTGAGGGAATCGGGATGTAAATGATGTAATCGGGCGGCCCGTTTCAATCCTTACGTTTTAGACGGGCCTACAAACACTTATTTTGGCCACAAATAAAAAGAGAAGAAACGTTTCAAAAGTGACTCCAGAGGCAATAAAGCCTGCAGGGACACAGCAAAGGGCACTATGAGAGATTTAATGAATCTACTGCAACATGCTGCCCGCCCTCACCCACATAAATAAATAAATAATAAATACGCAGCCCCACTATCCCCCACCCCTTTTTTTATTTTTTGTATATAGCGAAGGGATAAAGCCTGTTGCTAGGCAGGCAGTGCGACAGTTGCCATGGCAACGCTTGCAGACATAGCTTGAAGGGGGTTGGGGTTGGGGGGGGGGGGGGGGCGGCATGGAGTAGGGTGGGGATAAGGATGGGGTGCAAAAACAGAGAGGGAGTGATGCAGATACAACGTGAATGTGCGCGTGTGTGTCTAGATACGTGGGTGTGTGTTTAGTGTTTATAGGGCAGGGGCAGGGGGGGGGGGGGGGGCGCAGGGTCACGGGCCGGCCCTGAAGGAGACGAGCGGAGCCGCTCGTCTCCTCCGGGGAAGGAAAGGAAACAAAGGAGCCGTGACGCGTGGAGCCGCAGCGTCCCGAGTTCGCCCCAATGGAGACGCAGCGTGACGGCATAACATAACATAATCAAATCGGGACTCATGTGTGGGGCTTTGATTGCACTCATCAGAGAAAGAATATATATATATATATATATAACATAAAAGGAAGGCCACTTGGCATAATTGGTACGGTTGTACTTGAGCAAAGACGAGAACAGATAATTGCCCCATTACCAAAAAAGGGGGAAAAGGTCCTCAACTTCCTTCAAGGACACGAAACAATGCAATTAGATCAACTAATCGCTGCAATTTAAAGACTGTTGCAAGAAGGAAACAAAGGACACGAGTTTCCCGGAGGATCACACGACTTTCACGGCCATTAAACGCAAAGCCGGCCCTTCGATGTGGAAGAAGACCGTAAACACGTCGACGGCGGGAGTCATGGTGGGAATCTAAGCAAACTATTGCTGCTAGAAGCCGTCACTGTGCTGCGTGGCTCACGGTACCAACGCGCCCTCTGACCCCGGCGGTGTCAGCGTGACGGACAGACAGCCATTCAGACTGTTGTTCTGCCCTCCAATAACCCAAACACAAAGGGATTCGATCAGAGTGACATAACCCCACGCTGCCTTCCTGCCAACGCCACACGCATTCCTGCCGCTCCCCGGGTTACATAACAAACCCCCCCCCACCCCCACCCCGCGCTGTGGCTGCAGAGCAGCTTACTCGGCTCAAACAGGGCATCAGACCCAGGAAATGTTCCGCTGCTGTGTGGGCTCACAATGACAGCAGTGTGTGTCGTTTCCTCCTGAAGGCGCATGTCACAGTGAGTTTGCATCGGGGACGAGGAAGCTGCGTATCCCTGATTTTCCCCTTAGAAATAAGAGTGATGTCCTCTATCTGTGTGTATGTCCTCTACAGAGAACCTGATGCTCAGAAACACCACAAACTGTCCAGTTGTGAGGCCGGAGGGCAACCGGGGACACGTGGAGGCCCTTAAAGCAGCACCTGCATGTGCTGTTTGCTTTCCTTAGAACATCTCAGTTACTCAGAAGCTCTCGGAAGACAAAGTCTGCTATCGGCACAAAAGACGAAAATAGTCCTGTTCCCAAAACACCGGCTGAGTTATTTTTATATTCCTGAGCTCACTGCGTGCTCCTGTGTGTGCGTGCGTGTGTGTGTGTGTGTGTGTGTTTCCACTCCTTTTTTTGGTGTGGAGGGGGTGGGGGGGGGCTGGTTGGTAATGGCTAGTAACCTTCTCGTGGGCATCATAGGAGTTCATGGGTGAGCCTGGCGTTGAGCCAAGTCTCCCCCCCACGACATCTCCTCCCCTGCAACAGCATTTGGAGGCGAGAGGGAGGGAGCAGGGGGGGGGGAACAAAAAACGTGACTAGGCACTCAAAGCGTCCCGTTATGCAACGACTGACCTACTAACATACATTCAGAGTCTCGCGGAGAGGAGGAGAGGGAGGAGGAAATAGAGGGAGGGAGAAAGAGAGGGAGAGGAACTGGAGCTAACGCGACACGAGGAGCGCACCGCAAACAAGCGCCACTGTGTTCCCACCCGCGCGTGTACCTGCGCCGATCCACGCGGCGACCGACAGACAGCGGACCGCTGGGACTGTTTCCTCCGCGGACTCTCCGGAGACTAAAAGGGGGGAGAGAAAGGGTGAGCTGGCGTCGCTATTCATGCCGGGAGGAAATTTCTCAGCCAAGTTTTGCACCACGAGTGTTTTGTTTTGATGCTTTCGTGCATTTTGCATTTTTACAACGAGGGGCTTCTTGGGCGTGTGTGCGTGCGTGCGCGCGTGAGGGAAGCCGGCGGGCGGGGGTCGCGGGTATGGATCGCTAATAGTTCCGGGATTCCTTCACAGGAAAAGAAGGCGCGGTGTTTTTGGCGTAAACGCGCGGATGTGGATGGTTTTTCGAAGGCACGGTGGTAATGAGGCACGGCCAACACATCCGCGCTGTGCATGTGTATTTAATACATACCCCGATTCTATTCAGCACGCGCATATTTAAATAGCTGCCCTGTCATTTCTTTTATGTTCTACTATTCGGGTGCCTTCTCCGCGTCAGCAACGTCCGCGCTCACTTTTACACGTGGGACCTTTTTTGATCCTGGTTTGGGTTAGTAGTTCACGCAGTCATCTGAGGGGAAAAGCTCCCGTGTTGGCAGCGAGGACGCGCTGCTCTCCGTCACGTGTGGCTGCTCTTTGTAAAGGTTAACGCGGCTGTGCAGCTCGGTTAACCCCTTGGTTTGCTGTCTGCAATCCGAAGGACAAGTCGCCTGATCCACAGCGCAACGGATGCACTCGTCCTGGATGCTCGTGTCGATATTTTCCTCTTCTTTTTGTCTTTTCATTAACAACCTCGGCTCGGACTTAGAAGGGGGGGGAAAAAAGGATGCAGCACGCCGTTGCCAGGTGAGGTGCCGATCGCCACATCTGGATCAAATGCGGGTCAGATGTGTGCCGTTTTAATGTGCTCAGGTGACACATACTATATATAGGAGGTTTATTTTTAACCGCCTGGCGAAAAAGAAAACCAGCTTCAATTGTGTTTATTTTGGGGGGGGGGAGTGAAATCGCACCACAGATGGATTCGTGACCGAGGATCCGATGGAACATGCGTGAATCTGTCAGACCGAGCAACAAAGAACGCACGCGGGTGGCAACATATTTCTCACAATTTGTTATGAACGATATTTGATGTGTAATCGGCGGAATTAAGCCACGCACGGTGGTCTCCACTCGCACGCCTATTTTAACCTCAATGTGCTCGCACTCCTGCATTGTCTCGGTGACGTGGACGCCGTCCCAATTTAAGACGCATGGACGATTATATACTTCTTTTAAACTGGCACATTGATTTGTTTTACCTCTGGCTTTGAAATAGAGCACAACAATGAATTAATTCCCCCCCCCCCCCCCCCCCCCCCCGCCTTTGGGGTTTCCCACACCCCGGGGGGGCGGGAAACACTTGGCCCCATGTAAAAGTGGGCGCGTGTGCGCAATCCTTTCTGCGCCCCCGGCGCGGGTCTCCCAGAAAGCCGTGCCCGGTTGCGTTACACCCCCATTTAAAAACTTTTAAACGATCACAGGTGCAGGGGGGGGGGGGGGGGGGGGGGGGGGGGGGGGTTATGTAATCCGCAGGGAAAGACAATCACGCACACGGAGTCTGTAGCTGTGCGCTTCGACCGTATCCAACCGGCTGAATGTAGGTCACACTAGTCCTGTGTGTGTGTGTGTGGGGGGGGGGGGGGGTCACAGACCCTGCCTAAATAAACCCTCGCCCCGCTTTAACAAATAAATAAAAGAGGCAGTCATGCAGAAAGAGAAACACTTATCCAGACCTGCTCAATAAAGGGAACCAAACACACCCTTTTTAAAATATCTCACAGCCTATTGCGTCACGGAACGTTTGCCCGGGCAACTGTTCTGCGGGCTTCACTCTTTATGCTTCGTGGAACCGTCCGGCTCTACCAAGTGAAACACAGCAGCCTCCTGACTTCCCCCGGGGGGGGGCTTCTCGTGCCACATGTAAGGCAACCAGCCCGCGGGGTCGGCGCGGTTCCTGCGCTGCGGTTTTTTTTGGGGGGGGGGGCATGGCGCAGAGGCGATCCACAGAAACGAGTGGGCTAAAGGCGCACATGTGACTGCTGCGACGCATGGAGCCCCTCGGCTGCTCTTTTATTCATGTCCTCATTCTCCCCATTCTTGGGAGACTGATAGGGATCAAGGATCTAGCCTGGATGGGACTGGCTGGCGCGCTGCCCGATTCCCCCCCACTTCTCTTTTTTTGTAAAGATAAGACCCGGAATTAAAGTAGACTCCACCCATCGACCCCCCTAAAGCCCGCAGCACATGCCACACATTGCATTACCCATGAAAGGGGAAGCATCCCTATTTTATTTTAAGAAGGGGGGGACTCGGTCCACCGTTTCCAGTGCTCATCGCCACATTGAAACTCTTGCGGGGTCCTGCGTTTTTTTGGGGTTATGCCAGCAGCAAGTCTTTTTTTTTTAACTGAGCCATCATTCCACAAGTGCCACGGAGAGCGACGACGACGACGCGTGACGAGCGCATGATGGATCGGACAGAGTGCACGCAGGTCACGGAACACAGAGCTCTTGAGGAGCGGCACTGTGTGTTCTGGCACTGTGTGTTTTGAAGGGGGGGGGCGATTCACGCTCATTCACGCGGGAGATTGGGGGGGGGGGGGGGGGCGCTTCATTAATCACGGGAGTTCATTCATGTGCCACATTTTGCGTAAGTGCCCGGTCTCGTCTGTCAGGTCTTCTTCTCCAGTGTTGTTTTCCTCGCCACCAATGGAAGAGAGAGAGAGTCGATGTGATTGGCTGCCCTTTCTGCCCCCTTTTTTTGTTGTTGCTATGGGTGACCCATCCCTTCTATTGATGCAATAGCAACATTGTCGCCACTGCCCCCCTCCACCCCCCACCCCTATCCAGCTGTAATACAATCTCTTCGGCGTCCTTCTCTTTGTTTTCACTCTCCTTCATTGATTCTCCGTCTTTGTCTCGGCCTTGCATGCTCTCCCTTCCCGTCTGTATTAAGACAATTCTCGAGTTCTCAGCGCCTCTTTGTCCCTTTTTGTCTTCTTTTTTTTCGTTATCTTTCCCTGGTCTCACCTCTGCTGACCCCCATGTTCCGGCGGGCCACGCAGCTCCGACTCGTCTGTACAGAGAGCAGACGGTCCCCGGTTTCTGGATCAGCAGGACACGATGCGGAAAAATAAAAATAAAATAATCTAATCCAAGTTGTCGAAGCGTTAAAACGGTTTTATTCCAAGAACGCGCTCGTACATCGCTACTCATTGCCAGGACACACCTGCAGTTACGTAATGGTGGAAGGCAGAGTACAACCAGTGCAAACGCTGTGCCAGATTACGGGATTCTGGATTCAGATGGTGTAATGGCGCTCGTGCACGTAGTTGTTGAGTTTTTGTCTGGATTTGCCATTCGGCATTTAAAAAAAGATCCTTCCATTCGAGTTTAGTAATGAGCGTAATGCCCCGATAATCCCCACATGGTTCTGGTTCTTATCCGACTCGTTACGGAAGCTTTCCGTGGTTATGAGACCTCAGAGCACCTCTTGTGTTCTACCCCCGAAATGTTAACGGGCCCTTTCATTCCCGCCCCCCGCCCCCCCGTGCCTCGCCTCTGCTTTCTTTCCAGGAGGTCCTTGACCTACATTCGTCGGTGCCCAACCTCCCAGCTGCCCCCAGCCCCTCCGAACCCCCCCTCCTCGTCCTTGACCTGCGGCGGCTCGCTGCCTTTGTCCCCCCCTTATCTGCTCACTCCGCATCATTGATTCGGCATTGCGAGTTGTTGTGGCGAGGAATGCCGCCACATTCCTCTGAGGACAAACGTATCGGGTGGTGGAGGGAGGTGGGCGCTTGAGTAGTGGGTCAGGGAAAAAAGCCCCCTTATGGAAGTAGTTTTTCCTTTTGTGTGTGAATTGTATCCAGGGAACCCTGGCAGCGTGTGACTCACCCTCTGAGCCCGAATAGTCCTCAGGCAAACAAAGAGAGCTGATCCCCCAACGGCGGAGTTCTGTGGTCTCAGCGTGTGTCAGACTGATGCAATTGCTGCGGCGTTACGCTATCATTAACTTCACGCGTGGACTCGCCTCTTTGGGATTTGTTTTGCTGCCTCATTTAAAAAAAAAAAGGGAAATGAGAGTTCAGTTCTTTCCTACAGGTTTCGAACGTTGCACTAGAAGGATCAAACGGTATCATCCAACAAACTCAACGCTCTCACAAGTCAACATTTACACGCCGGGGTAAATGTCAGGGGTCATGGGCCGCAGACAGAGCGGATCAATAGGTCAGAAGGTCAGACGGGAAGGACGTTCATTGGTTGCCAGGGGCGACGCCGGCAGGGTTAAAGCCAAAACGGAAAACAAAAGCTGTTGGGGCGGAGGAATAGGTCTTTGATATCTGTAGCCTGAAATACCAACAACACAGAGAGGAAATTAAAAAAAAGAACTTTTGAGTGCATCATTTTAAGTCTGCTATGGAAATGCATACCGGTGCTCCAGAAGTCCGCATGGAGTAACGTGTGTTTTCCTCTTTTTTTTTGTTTTTCTTCTCTGCAGCCTTTCATCTGGCAGTCAACCGAACAGAGACAGACGGGCGGAGCGAGAACGAGGTTCCCCAAGAGGCTGACACTCTGAGGTAGACGGGCTGACCGACTTCCTGCCGTTCACGTGGGGATCCAGGACGCCGGCTCAGCTCTGACAAACCAACTGCTGCAAAGCCCGAGGGGAAAAAATACATTTGTAAAGTCTGATCTGAGTTGGTCGAGGAGTGGAGTCTAGACACTGAACCACAAAACCCCTTCATTTGAATCAATGAGGGCTACTAATGCTGAACTCCAGCTTTCCTACTTCTTTTCGGCTACTTTGGACACTTAGTGTTAAACTTTGTGAGAGCGCCGCCTCCGTTTGACCTGTGACCAGGTTCGTTCCTCAAAAAAAAAACTTTTCAAACTGGCTCCCACGAGACAAAAATGGAAAATCTAGCCTCAGCCCTCAAAACGTTAAACAAAAGCTCAGAGAACAGCAACTGCGGCGAGACCTTCAGCAGCTATGAGGAGTCTCTTCCTTCTGCCGAAGGGAGTCCGAGTCGCATGGGCCGCCTCGCCAAGCCCAAACCTGGCATGAGCTGCAGGCGGAAGCGCGAGTTCATTTCGGACGAGAAGAAAGACGCCAGCTATTGGGAGAAACGCCGCAAGAACAACGAGGCGGCCAAGCGCTCCCGGGAGAAACGCCGTCTCAACGACATGGTGCTGGAGAACCGCGTCATGGCCCTGAATGACGAGAACGTGAGGCTCAAGACGGAGCTGCTGCAGCTGAAGCTGCGCTTCGGCCTCATAACCACTGCCTCCTACATCGAGAAGAGCCAGCAAATGAGCGGCAGCGGCAACGCGGAAAACGGGGGCTCGTCCTCCTCCTCCTCGGCCCCGTACTACTCCAGCGGTTACTCCAGCGGCTCCCAGGTGATGATGAACTCTGACTCTTCAGAAACGGAGCAGTCCGGACGTGGCGAGGGCCACAGGCAGATGGTGAAGTACTCCCCGCACGGCTCCCTGTCAGACATGTCCGACGGCTTCTCCAGGGACAGCCCCGAGCCGCTGCCGTTTGAGATCAAACAGGAAGGAGATCGGCTGGAGATGGACATTGCCAACGGCAACACCACCACCCAGATCATGTTCAACGTCCACCGTGGTCTGGCCTCCGAGCCCGCTCACCACCAGATCCAGCAGCACTCTCAGGAGCTGGAGGCCGCATATCACACCCATCAGCAGCAGCAGCACCACCACCACCATCATCAACAACAACAACAGGAACAACCCCATCAGGAGCCGGGGAACACCATCAACACAGTCAGCCAGCCTGCCCCCCACCCACCTGCTGCCCAGAGGAGCGTCATTCTGTACGGCTCCAGCAGCGCATCCTATCCTGTGGACGCCCTGATGAGGCACCAGGACGCCGATGTGCCGGCAGCCCAGAAGCATGGCGCCGACGGCCAGCCGTGTGCCAGTTGGCTGCCCCAGTTCATGACGGAGAGCGCCACGGAGACACTGGCTGAGGTGACGGAGCAGCTGGAGAGGAAGACGTTGCACTCCCCCGCGTATGAGCCGTCAGACGGCCGGGATGAGTCCGGAGAGAGAAAGGGGCACAGGGTTTGCCAACCCGCCCAGCAGCCGCAGCACCACCAGCAAGAGAGACATTCGTCTGCAGAGGTCCTCCACAGACAGGTGGAGGGGGTCGACCACCCCCACCTGTATCACTCTCATCAGCAGCCCCACCATTCGTACCTCAGTGCCCAAGATGAGGAGCCCCCGGTGCTCACCTACGAGGGCGGGCACGGGGGCGGGGCTTACTACCGAGGCCCGTCGCACCCCAAGGACACGTCATCCAGCTCCGACAAAGACGCGTCTACGGACGACGAAGAGTTCCCACCCTCCTCTTCCTCAGGCACGGTCGACTACCACGGCCAACTTGTCAGCAGCCTGCACCCTCCGGCCTCGCCTCCGCCCCCCACCTCCCAGGCCCCGGGCCGGGATCCCCAGGTGGAGGTGAAGGGCACGGCGCTGCCCCACAAATTGCGGCTCAAGCACCGAGCCATGAGCAGCGGAGGCAACTGCGAGGGCCGAGAATCCCCGACGACCCCGCCGCCTGCCACGCCGCCCCCCCTGCCCCAGCACCCCTACCTGTCCCTCATGTCGCTGCAGAACATTACGCAAGAGAGCCCGGTCAGAGGCTTCAGGCAGGCAGCCCCAGCGGAAGGGGGCAGGACAGAGAGTGGGAAAAAGGAGACGGGGGGGCGACGGAACAAGAGGCGAGATTAGGCTACAAGTGCTGCAGTAAATGCCCTGAACTACCCCGCCCATCATGCCTTTGCCCCATAACCCAACACCCCCTCCCCGAGCCCCTGGGACCGCTCTACTTCCTTATGCCCAACGTCCCCCAAAAAAGGCTGGACGTCTTGTGGGGCTGCATCATATTTGTATATATTGTACAGATTGTCATTTCTTACATCCTCTACATACTTACAGAAGCACTTTTTTTTATGCGATGAGAGGAGGAATGGAACGGCGTTCCTAAAAAAACAGCAGAGCATATGGACGTTTTGATCACAAACAAGAATGCAGGACGAGGAAAAGTTCTGAGCTTTATCAGTACTACAAATTTGGTGAATATGTAATTGTAAACAAAGCATACACATGTGTGGCTATCTGCCTTAATCTAATGCAAATGTACACTGGGGACATTCCCTCGACCAAAGAGACACTGACACTACAAACATCGAGTTCCATACCTCTTCCCAGACCCTACCTCTACCGACCCACACTCCCCAGCCATCTCCATCATTTCACTCAATTTTGCAGTCACCTTTATTTTTTTGAAGCACTTGGTTTGTATATTACTGTGATTTATGAATATGTGTATTATAAATATATATTTTACCAACAATTTTGAATACAAATTCAACAAAAACGTGAGACCTGCAATGGTTAAAAAAAAAAGTTCTTTTTTAAATAAAAGCGACCATCCCATTATGAATCACAATTGACGTACCTTTGTCCGCTGTTTGCTACGGGACTCATTAGAATTGTTAAAAAGCGCCTCTTACTTGATTGTTCTGCCTTGCATTGCCAGTTTTTTAATGCCCTGTTTACACGGAAACGGTCCGGTTCGGCGCGACAGCAGCACTGAAACGGACAACGCGTTTCCTGATGCGAGGGCCTCGGTAAAATGTTCGGACTGCTTAACCTTTAACCAGCCTTTACACATTTGGTGGAACTCACCAGCTGCAGGCTGCAAGCCTCTACTTTTTTTGAGCTTTATCGACCATATCTTGTTGTTGTTGCCCTTCCCTGGCCCAGTGTATTTATTTCCTCTTTCCCACACGACCATCGCTGTCAAAAAGGCCTCAGGAACATAGACGGAGAACATGTACAGACCTTTTTATGACTCATCCCGCGGCCGCGAGCTTGTAATGGCGGTGTAGGGTGCTTCGGGCGGGAGGGGGGCTGCTGCACATAGATTTGATTTGTTTTTTTGCATTTCGACCAAGCATGAGCCCAGAGGTTCCCATTGGCTCCCAGATGGAGGGGTTGTTGGGAAACTAAAGCTAATGAAAAACCAAAATGATCTAATTCCACCAATTTGTGCCAGGGCTGAAAATCCGACATTCAATTTGTGAATAAAAGGGCCTCCCTCGTGCCGCCATTAATCATTTCAGGCGGCCTTCATCCCTTCGTGGTGGTGGTTCTGCTGCCAGACGGCGATGAATCGCCTGCACAGAATCCCATTTTAGCAAAGGTCTATGTACCATTTGGCTTTTTGATGATTGTGTATAAATGTAAAGTGTCCCCCCCTCCCTCTTGAACTACACTGTAATGTTTATTTCATTGGTTTTATATTTTTTTTTGTCAAGGTGTGTTTCGTTTTCTCTACACTGTCTTTCTCTCCAATTGACTGTGATGACATGTAATTGCCCCATTCCCCCACCACCTTTTATCAGTGTGTATTAATCAGTACCGTTTGTGGTTTTGCAAAAAGACGAGGAGGGAAGAAAAAGAAAAAAAGTGGGTGAAGATAGTGTGGTCTTTAGAGATGGGTGGTGGTTAGTCATTACCATCGCTCGCTTTTGACATGAATATGTATGTAAAGACACTAATGTTCATTGTGGAAGATGGGAGCATTTCAAGATCGAAAATAAAACAAAGTTGACGCTATCAACATATCATGAAAATGTCCTGTCATTCTCGGTTCTTTCAGTGTGGTTTAACACAACAACACCTGATGGGATCCAACGAGCGTTCCCCGTGACCTAATGAGCAGCTCGCAAACCAACGCTGGTATCGAGCAGCCATCTGTCAGAAAACAGCGACTGCGATGGCAGTCTGCGGGCGCCGCTTAGGACCTGGCATCGACTCATCGCGCTCCATCGCCATCATGCAGGAACCGCCAGTTAGGTAACACGTTACTGATCCGTCACTGACGTAAGAGAATGAATCACCGTCGGTAACCAGACAGAATAAATTAGAGCCATGATGCTTTACAGCCGTCCTTGGCTGTAATCTGCGTTTTTTATAATCCTTGAGGACAATTAGAAAGATTATTTAACAGTATTCCGTATCATAAAGGACGTGCCCCGTTCCCGTAAGCGTACCTCAAGGCAAAACTGGTTTCCATTGTGTAGAGATGGCGCTCATGCAGAGCTTACCGTTCCCCACGGGACACTATTTTTTTGTGTTTTTTTTGGCATTAAAGACTAATCCGCAACAAGAGGAGCTCCGCAATGACACACTTTCGCCAGCAGACTCCCTTGGCGAGCAAGTCTGATGTAACACTGGCCTACTTCTACTAGCAGACGGGAGCCGCAGCGCGAGAACAGAAATTGAGGTACACTGACATTGAGTGTATTCTCTGAAATTGGATAAAAGGGTCAAACATGATCCCACTGAGCAGTGAGACGCTGGCCTACATAGACAAGAGGACGTGCTTCCCCCCCGGCCCAAAGAGAGCGGCACAAACCGGGTTTCACACTAAACAGCACATAAAAAGACCCAACTAAGAGTAAGTCAAACATCCCACCCAGCGTTTGCCCAAAGACCTCCGTGCCAATGTTGACCGTTGGTGCTTCGACAAAAGTGGTTAAAGGGAAATAAAAGAACAAAAGGAAGAGTCTGGTGCATTTATTCATTCGTTAAAATCAGAAAAATCAATATGAAGTCAATATCTGGTCTCATGTGTGTGGACAAAATATAAAATATATTTGCTTTTAAAAAGGTATTAAAGTCCAGACTCACAGGCCCTACGATGCCATATTATTACAGACTATGTGGATGATTAGACACCTGAAATCAATAGTCAATAGTCAATAATCTCACCCTCTTGACACATTGTATGTCATTGTACTGGATTTATTCCACAAATGGCCCCTAAAAAAGGGATTGATGAATGAGCACGCACACACAGATGGTCTGTTGATCCATTTGACCAACAGCGGGGTCATACATAACGAGATTAAGAGCAAAGGGAGGAGCAGTGAGCGAGGTGGGTGAGGTGGGGGGGGGGGGGGGGGGAACCCGGTGGGACTAACTTGATCTGAGCTTTGAAACAAAGGCACTTTTTGAGGGTGACGCATCAATGCGCCTCACAATGTTCTCACACACACACACACACACACAGGAGAGCCGGAGAAGCGAGCAACTGATAGATAGACAGCACTTCACATCTGCCGTTTTGTGCGATGGTGTGGAGAAATAAACTACATCCAGAAGATGGGGCGCGTCCCCCGGTTTTCCTGGATGAC